AGCTTTTGTAATAACCTTTGTTTGGCCTTCTATCCACTGAAACTCAGAGGAATTTCAGTGGTGGAAAGTTGGTTTTGAGGACCAAAATAGGAGGGGGTGGTCCCCCCTCCTCATGTCTTGTTTGTATGCATAGATGGCTTAATAGTTGAGCATGTTTTTCTACCACCTAATGACTTGATCTCAACACGTTTTTGTGACTTTTTTGACATGCTATAACTTTGTTTTTGGCTGGTTTGGTCAACTCTTGCTTGCTTCTTACACTTGTAGTGCAATCTTGTTCACTAGCCTAGTGTACTTGATGTTATAGCCTATTATTCTAGCATGTGTTGGCTCCATTCCAGCATGTTTTTGGCCTTTCTTTGACATGCTTAAACTTTGTTTTGAGTGGCCTTGGTCCCTTGAGACTTGCTTTGTATAGCTATAGTGTAGTTAGCTTCACTAGTTTTGTGTTTCTAGGCCCCTTAACATGCTTTGGTTGAGTTGTTTGCATGATATGACATCATTTAACATGTAATTTCAGTGCATATAGTGTAGACACACTCTCACATATTCCACTCTTCCATCGCTTGTGAGAGTGGTGCTCTATGCCTTGCTTGTGAGTCTGCATGTGAACATGTTTTTCTTGCTATTCGAGCTTCAATTTCAGCATGTTGTAGTCTCTGATTTGGCATGATTAAGCTCTGTCCAGAGCTGGTTTGGTTGTTTATGCTTTGATATTGCATGCTTCTAGAGTGATGCTCTTTACTAGCTTAATGTATTTGGATTTTGAGCATGTCTTGTATGGATTGTTTGCATGATTTAGTGTCTTGAGCATGCCATTTCAGCTTTGAAAATCTGCCACCTCCCTCATTTCTTCATCTTTTTTATTTGATTTGAGAGTTGGTTGGCCTTGAGATTGTGTTTAAGCTTGGGATTGAGGCTTGTGCTTAAATGGGTTTAACCCTCTTTTGAGGGTTCCTCCTAGTCAAAGGCATGGTCTCTCTTATGCCTTAAACCATTCTTTTGGTTGACCTCCTCTCCTTAGAGGACTTGCACATTGGACTTAAACCGATTAACGAATGGTTTGGTAAAGTTAAAATGAGTAAACAAGAATTGAACAAAGTAAAACATGCCAAGATAGCATCTGTGTTGCATTGCATGTGTTTGGATCGGAAGTTAATCCAAACACAAGAAATGTGGGACGTTTCATACTCGAAGTGATGAAACGTGTCACATTTCTTGGTCGCCAACATCCTTGATCATGCATGATGGGGTGGAGGCTCTTTGTGTATTGTTTGTGCATTCACTAAGCTTGTACAAGCTTGGTTCTTGGGCCATCATGCATTGAGATGCTTGGTTGGTGGCTTGAGAGCCAAGTGCCACACTCCTTTGAGCTTGAGGCATGATGAGGAGTGTGGCAGTACATACATTTTCTTGCAAATACATTGCTGTGCCTCTGTTGTTCTTTGTTGCAGCAAAACCAGAAGTTTGGAAAAGCAGGTGGCTGACCAGCCACTTGAGGTAGCCGACCGACCACTTTCAAGTGTTTGTGGCCGGCAGCCACCTTTTGTGGCCGACCGGCCACCAGTCCATTTTTGTGCCAAAATGTTCCTGTTTTGAGGCAGAAGCAGTCTGGATGTTGGTTCAATGTTCAGCAATCAAGGAGAGTGCAAACAGAGGCAACCGGTGGCAAAGTGATGGATTTCCGGGATGACGCCAACCAAGCATGCATGTCTCCCTCGCCCGCGAGGCCATTTCACTGCTTTTAATTAGTTCGTGTAATTAACTATTTTATTCCAATTGTGTTGTAATAATTAATTAGCTTAGAATAGTTAATTAGTTAGTTTGTAATAATTAGCTTAGCTTAGTGTAGCTTAGCTTATTTATTCGGACCCTCCTTCGCGAGGGCGCAATATTGTAATAAGCGTGTATGTGTGTGTGCATGTCTTCCAACCACACTTCTTTCTCCTTTTTACTTAACTTCTTTCGATGGATAGTTTAGGGCACGTTTTGATTAGCATACCTTATGCTTGCATGTTTGCATCCATTCATTTGTCTTGCATGCACCGGGCTCAGGGCATCATTCAAAGTGCATCATATTTCAATATCTCTTTGAATACGTGTATCAAATTGTTGCATTCATATGCCATCATAGATAGTCGAGCCTATTTAGTTGCATTACTGCATGTGTTGCATTCGGCATCCTAACATAGCTAGGATCATGCATTGTTTTCTAACTAGCTTTTGTTTTGGCTTGGAATACACTGTGAGTGTTTACGCTTTAGCATACTTGCATGAGTGTGAGTGTTGCCATGATAGCATGTTTGCCATGAAGCTATTTGCTTAAATGCTTAACTATTTGAATGCCTGTAGGTGGAGGCTTGACTGCCTAAATTGAAACAACTCAATGATTGTGAGTTTTAAGCCCACTTTGCGAAGTGGCAAAATCATGTTTTCAAGCCCACTTGAGGGTGGCAAATCCATGCTTTAGCCTACTTGCGAGTAGCACTTTGAAACCATTTTCACAAACAAACATGAGTTGTTTTGTTCCAATTCTCGTGATTGAGTCTATACTTGTATGTTGTGCGCATCACATAGTAAGTTAGCTAATAACCGGAATAAGAACACATGAGGTTTATAAAACAACATATCATGCTTAGTAGAGGCCAATCCTTTGATCGGGGGAGCGGGGGTACTCATTTCAGGACCTGCCCCTCTTGTACCCAAGTTCCCGAGCCGAGGCAACTTTGGTGATGACGGACACGTGGCCTTTGGCACGAGTCAGGGTTTCCTAAATTTTCCAAAACTAAAACATTTAGGTGGCGACTCTGTAATCTGGCAAAGCAGTCCATGTTTGGCGCTTTTTCATTCAAAATTGATTTTTCAAAACCAATTGCTAGATTTGGACTCTTTGGTGTTTATCAGTCTCATATTGCACTTTGTGAGATTAGATTCAGAATCGTGACAGGAGTCTGAACTGTAGTAAGACCAATTCGTGCCTCTCCGAAAGGGGGGCGCGCAAAGAAAGTCGGGTCTACACCCGCTTGTCCAACCTGCTCGGCCACATTAGCTTGGCCTGCTTGCTCGACCATATTAGTTTGGCTGAACCCTTTTTCTTGCACTGGAACCCTATGGGCCGGTACCTCATGCACACCTCGGCGAGCCCTACCACGCCTCTCGCCTCTACCACCACGGACTTGACCCCTTCCTGACATCCTAATAAAGAACACAAGAGAAATAATTTAGCACATTAACTTATATATGATCGTAACTTGACTCACACGTTCGACTACAATAATTCCATTTATTTCTCTACCATATATACAATTCAATTTCACTCCACATAAGCACTTAGTCATGTAAACACATACGGACTATTCTTTTACGATGAAATCCGTCCCACGAAAAATCAAGAATTCTTAGTAGAACGAGTATTGATCAAGTACCCTTCTAATGAGACCTCAAGGAATTTAACAGGCTCAAACAACATCCCAAAAGTTCAGTCTCATATCAATTTAGTCACATAAGCATGTTATCACATAGTCACAAAATGCATAACACTTCCTAAGCATGCTAAATGAACCCATTGTGGTTAAACAGCCACTTCCCACGAGCTTCAAGCATTCAAACCCGGTAACTCTGATACCAAGTTGTAACGCCCCAAATTTCTAGCCCAAAAGATAATACAACAATCATGGCTCTTTCAACGAAAACAGAATATAAATCTCCAAACTTACATTACATGATACAATAGTTCTTCATGCAACAATACATTAATCCAACAACAAGTAAATAAACAAATAAATACCCCCAAGGGTTTACAAGTTTCCAAGGCTTGAGCCTGGTTACACAAAACGGTTATTCAAACCCACACACATACAGCCCTTGGCTTACACACAGAGTCACAGCAAAATGAGAGTCTCGTAATCTCAACACACATTTCCTCGCCTTTAGTTAGGCGGCATCACCACATCTTTTCCTGCACAAAAATCTCATAGGGTGAGCATAAAGCCCAGTAGGAAGTCCTTAACAAAGTATATACATTTTATACAAGTCTCAAGAGATGAAATGCACATGCCATGCTATGCTCTTTTGAAAGAAAATCACATCTTTATCTTTGAAAACCCTCATGCTCAATGATGTCATGCAATTTCAATTCTTCAAAACTTAACAATTCATTTCAAGAGCGGTAAATACGACTCTAGTAATCCCTAGGTTGGTGTTTGCAAATAGACTATACAAGTACTACTAATTATCATTTTTACCAGTATTAACCGGAAAGCTCGACACCTAACCGCGCAGTTTTTCAGTCTTTCACCCCGGACTCTCAGGCCAACTTATTCAATATCATCTACACCACCTATCAAGACTTACCAACGTATTTACCCCAAAACCATTTCATGAAAACTTGTTTCTCAACATTCTTTTCTCAATGCAAGTTTTCAAATCAACTTTCAAAGTTTAATGTAATCAAATAAATTGATATGCCAATAACACAAGATGAAAATAAATCTTTTATTCCAATTCATCACCCAAGGAATAACACAATTCCCTCTTCTCAAGTATCCTCAACAATTAGTCATTTCTAGACTATTTCAACGTTTTGAACAACAATTTCCAAAATGAACAACAATTCACATATTCCTTGAAATTCATCATTTATATAAATATGAATAAGAAATTTTCCAAATATCCATTTATTTTGACACACAAAATATATATAACAATATCATTCATGGATTTTCAGTCTCTTTTAAAAAAATCTCCAAATTCTAGGTTTTTTCACCAAAACTATACAACTCAAATATTTTGAAAGAAAACTTTCCAAAAATCATCTTTTCTTCAATCAACGAAGATCAAATCCCATAAAATCATTTTAAAAGAACAAGAGACAAACAAACTTTCAAAATCGCTCAACTTCTTGAATCAACAATCAATTTTTAAAGTTATCGAAAGATGATTTCGAAAATCATATAGATCTTGCAAAAACATATATATATAAATCTAAGAAAATCCCTACATCAAGTTTTGAAGAAGAAATGAGATGAAACCCCCAAAATCAACGGTGTCGAAACTCGATCTTCACCGTATACAACGAAGCCCTCGAGAAGTTACACAACTTTGATGAAGAACTTCGGTCTAACTCCCAATGGATTTAGAGGAATCAAAGAGAGAAGATGACTTCTAGAGAGAGAAGCTCTAGATCTGAAAATTTTGGAGAGTTTTAGAGAGAGAGAGAACTGAAAAAGTGATCTGAAATCTCCTCTTACGGACTGATATAACATGGTCCGCTCGAGCTCGACCCTCGTAAGTTGACCGGGTCAAAATCAAGATCGCTACACCTAAATGATATGAGAACTCAATAATCAGAAAAACTTAGCACTCAATCATAAAAAAGGCAAGCAAGAACTTTATTTATTAATCATTTCAAAGCATACAATAAGATACTAAATGAAACCTTCAAATATGCATGCTTCTCTGGAGGTGAACCAAAAAAGACATCTACCAAAGCCTGAGCCAACTCCTTAGAGCATGATGCCAAAGCCCTAATGTTTTTGCTTGTAATTTTCTTTGAATAAGGGGGTTTACTTTCAAACACTACAGAAGAACCATTTATTTCAAAGGTCTTTGGAAGTGTTGCAAACGCACCAGTACCCACATTAGATCTTACTACAGTTTTGTTTTGATTCACAAGTTCCTATGAAGAAAGAAATGAGATATATAAGATCAAATATTACAGAACCGAGCACAAGAAGAGACATTAGCCCAAAAAGAAAAGAAAAAAAATTAAGAAGAAGAAAAACAAAGAAAAGTAATACAATCATTGAGGTAAGTTATTCAATCAAACCTGCAAAGCAATGGCTATATTTTCGAGCATAAATGAGTCCTTTGTGATGAAGGTAATTAAAAGTTTCACTAAAGATCCAAAATTTTGGTAAGTATCAGTTGGATGGCAACAGAAGGCAGGTAATAATCCCTAACAGCCATGGGCATTGGCTTGCAGCTCTTCTTGAATCACTGACTTTCTAACTGACGAAAAGCAAAAATTTCAATTCCAAAAACGGAAACTCAGAGAATTGCAGCTCTTAAATTATGTACCATCACAGAAGCTAGATGAACAAAAATCAGTGAAAAGTTGAAAATAAAATTTAAAAAAAGAAAAGAAAAGTAAAAAGAATAAGAAGAAGAAGATAATTAATATAGATTGACTCCTTATCCCCCATGATAAACAGAATTTCACACGACAGTCGAAAGTTGTCGTAAAAGGCCCTTTAGTGATTACATAGCGGAGCAGTTCTGATATTTTCCAAGTAATAGGATACATGTTCTTTACAACATTCCAGTGTGGGCAATGTGCCCCAGTGAACTAGGCAATTGGGCCACTCTAAGAGACCCATGGCCTAGAAACAAGCCTCGCAATACAAACTTATTACAAAATTCGGCCTCCAATACACATCTATGAGGTAACCAATATGAGTAGACAGAACACAAGAGAAGAACAGACAGAATAGTGCATCTTGTCTTCCACACAAGCCTCATGAATTGTACATCCCTGTAGCTTTGGACTTGATAAATTATGTTATTCGTGATTTTTTTGTGTAGAGTGGGTGATGTTGGATCCGAGGATTGAGTTTTGTGATAGCTAGGTTTATAGATGTGAGTAAGATATGGAAGGCAAATCAAAAGTATTTAATGTGTTGTGTTTCGGGAGAAAGGAACTAGCATACTATTGAGGATGTATAGATGAAGATAGATAGACTAAGCTTATCTTTGCTTCGACCTACTCATTTTTGCCTTAAAGAGAAATTTTGTAATTCTTCTTGAAAATCCTAAGTGATTCGTGATTAGTTCAAGATTAAAATATTCCAAATCCCAGAAATCCAAAACACACAATCTAAATCAACAAGCACTTACGAAAGTGATTTAGATTGTTTGTTTTTTCAGAATAATTAATAACTCGACACAAACGATTTTTACGTGGAAAAAACCACAATTGGACACCTCCAACTGTGATTAAAAAAACCACGGGCGAAACGCCACTAATCAATCCACTACTGAAGTAAAAAAGATTACAAAGATATCATACAAATTACCCAACTCAGTCAATTTGTCTTCGAATCTTCTGTAACTCTTTCTCCACGACTTCGTCTCGGAACTGATCAATCCTGAAGTTGATTCCACAATCTCACTTACGTATAGAATCAAACGCCTTTCGAAACTATACGCTTGAATCTTCGGAATCCACCGAAGAGAACTCTCTCTTGAATTTAAAGTAACCAACTCCTTGATGTATGTATTTTAGAACATGAGTGAAGAACTCTTCTCAAAACATCAAGGAAAAACTCATTAAAACTTCAGAAGAAAACTTCAAACAAAGCCCTAGGACTTTTGAATAAGATCTAGGAAAAAAGTAGTCCTAAAAACAACCTAACAAATATAAATAGGAATCCTGAATCCACGATCTCCGCTCGAGCGCCCAACATCCCGCTCGAGTGGCTTCAACAAAATACGCGTGTGATAACACAGTGATCCGCTCGAGCGCTTCATGACCCGCTCGAGCGCAAAATTACGCACTCCAGTACTTTTATAGACCTGTCAATATACTGAGAGACCACAAACTCCGCTCGAGCGTCAATGTCCCCGCTCGAGCGGGACAGAAAATAAATAATTTTAACAACTCAAGGTTTTGTATCCGGATTTAACAATCAAGGGACCTAACACTTCTTTTTCTCTAATAAATTTTGTGCATAAACTTAAATTTAGGGGAGAATATAGATTTATTTGTGTTATTTTTTTGCTTTGTGTATATCTCTAGTTCACATAAGCATTGTCCCTTTGGTGGCTTTCTAATTCAAACTGTATGTTACTTATCCCCCCAAAAAAAGAAAAATGAGCGAAAGAAACAAAAAAAACCACCATTCGGAACAAAAAGCAAAAAATGGAAGATGCTTGTACACACGTGGGTGCATGTGTGTTCAACAAGAGAAAGATGAGCAAATGGCCATGGTACAACTTGCAACAACTTGGAGGAAAATAACCAAAATAACTTTTAAAAGAGTTGATAACAACCATACAAAATGATTTCCTCAAGAAAGAGGTAAGTCTCTTTTTGCAAAATCAAAATGATAAATGTTCTGGAAGCACCCTATGGAAGCATGTATGTTTTAACACATATATAATATGTAAATACAAAGTACTAAAAATAAACTTTTAAGGTCACCAATAATTGGATCACTCCTAAGCCAGTTCCAACTATGGGCTGTGAAAACCAATGCAGTATATTCACCAATTTGATTAAAAGGCCAAAGCAGTACATTCCACCAGAAAGAGTATGTGATTTTATGTTGTGTTTCTATGCAAACAACTAAAAGAGAGATTTAGACAACAACACAGTAACATGCAATCGGGATGCAAAAGAAACAATTCCCTGTGGCATGAGGATAAGTTTGGTGTATGCTGTAATCTCTAAAGAAATCACATACCAAGTTTGCGGAACAATGCAGATATGACTGCCAAACTTTGCTCATTCGGAACTCCAACACAGCTGCTGAGCACATTTTGAAAGATAGCACATGTGGATTTTACTGAACTTGATTCCATGCTATGCTTAACTTCATCATCAACTGACTCATTATCGATAGTCAAACAATTTCTTCTGATATGGAAATTAATCAACTCTTTTAAAGTATTTGAAGCCTGTGAAGCAGTACTAGCCTCAGAAGTTAAAAGACCTACGAATACATAAACAACATAAGAATTGGCAAGCTGTACAGTATGAAATTGTGAAAATGGCAAGTGGAAGCTAATGACTGTTAACATAAGTTTATGGGATGATAACATAAAATTAACAAAATACAGAACTGCATCCAAATCTGTAAAAGAAACCATAACCATAATATATTCAATGTCAACAATCATCGATCAGAATATTGTTTACGACAACATAAGCAAATTTTTAGTACCTTAACATCCATTAAGTTTGAATGCCAGGTTACGAGAGAAAGGTTTTCAGATAGCGAGAGTGAAAGATGGAATCGAGTCAAGCTCATCCTAACTCAAGCTAAGCTCGTTTGATAAACAACTGTTATTTTAGGATAGATCTTGACTTGAATACATAATCAAACAAGTCCAGCAGTTCATGAACAGCTGCTGTTTGTTTGATGCCCTATAATTGTGCCACATTATCACCTAAAACAAAGCCTTTTTTTATGAAAATTGAAGAAATTTATCCCCAAAAAAAGCTCGGCAAATTTACCCAATCTACTGAATGTATAAATGGGCAAAAGAATATTAGGTGTGGCATGTATGCTTTTACTAAATTAGTGCTTCTCTCTGTTTAGCTAATTTTGTTTGTCAAGGTTATGTATAAGCACAAGACGAACATGAGACTCATTCTTCTCTAAAACAACAAAACACATCTGAGGGATCTCCAGAAGCCTTGAAAGCCTCATACCCATTCAAAGGAGGGAATGACATGAAACAAGCAGTTTTAAAATGATCTCAAAGAGTTCCATGCTGGTGAACCATCAATTCTGAAGAAACATCCAATAATAATAATAATAATAATAATAATAGTAATAATAATAATATGAATTGATGCTGGTGAAAGAACAGTGGAAACATAATAGAAGTCATCAGTAACTTTACCATTGATCCCGACCTTTGTCTTCTCACCACTTCGTGATTCTAAAAACAGCAAAATAAATAGGTACGTCAACAAATACAACTCCTTGGTTATGCAGACTAACATAATATTACGCTCTAAATTAATGAGTATTATGATTCTTACTCTGAGCGGTAGCAGGCATTTCAGTAGCAATGGCTTTGATAGGCCGCATACTCCTAGCACCACATTATCTGTATAGCTCAGACAAAATCATTCAGCACCAATAACAATAAGCAAATGCTACACTTAATTGCAGACACACACACATACACATACACACACACACGCAAGCAGAGAGAGAGAGAGAGAGAGTGAATGAATGAATGAATGAATTACTCACCTGTACAGGAGATGACTTGCCAGGAACAACAGTGCCAAAAATGCTTGACTGAAACTTTGGTGAATTCAGATTGCGATTGAAACCAACAGAAAACACCTGAAACGAAACAAAATAACAACAACAATAGATACAACAATTCCATGCCGTGCATCACAATTCAGGGACAGAGGCAGGGGCAACTAAAGCCTATGACATGCTAACAAAATTGGAACATCCAAAACCAAACTCATACTAAAGTCATTAAGAGGAAGGATGAACCACTTCATATTATTTTATTTTATTTTATTTTTATATTTAATTTCTCACTAAGAAACATAACGTGATCAGAATAATTAAAGAATAGTAACCAGAAACAAAATTATGAATCCTCTACTTTGTGCTTGTTTTGATTTCCAAAAGGCAAACAAACTTAAAAATTGTAGGGGATATTTCCATATTAATTTGTTATCTCAGCTTAAACTTTGTCAACACGAAACAGATTCGAATCAAGTTAATCCCTGACAATAAACTAATGAGCGAAAACCAAAACAGGCAAGAGAGAAAGAGAAGCATGGTTTTAAAGTCGGAAAAAAATAATCACAGCTTGTTGCAGTTGTAATTTTATTTTCTGACGGATGAAAAATCACCTTGGATTGATCGGCAGAGCAGAGAGTAGGGCCTGGCAGGGAGGCCTTGGAAAGTGAAGCTTCGAGAGCATGCAAAAGGGGCTGTTCAGTCTAGACTCCTCTTCTCCCTTGTTTTGGCTCTTCTTCTCCTCTATTTTCTGCAGAAAAAAATCAGATCAGATTTTGTGTGTTTTAGATTGATTCCTTTGTAGTTTAAACACACATTTGCTTCCAAAACACCCAACACAATCAAATAAAGCCGTGAATACTGAATCTAGTCGCAAATGTGAGTTGGATGAAAGGCTGTGAGTCATGGTCTGTTGAGGGGCCATCTACCCTCCTATCTTTCTTTCTCTATCGTCTCTACTCCCTTTCGTTTTCAGCTTCTTGACCCGATAGAAACAAAGATACTTCTCACTAGGAAAAAAAAAATCTAATCTTTTTAAATATATAATCAATTGCAAATTTAAAGAGGCTTCCTATGGAATGTAAAAGACTAAAAGTTAATATTGCAAATGCCATAAGCAGAGATGTCTCACAAAAAATTTCGACGCTAAATGTCAAATTTCTTGTAGTGATTCGTGAAGTAAATAGGCTAATATATCAACTTATTAACCTGGGTTTTGGCTACATTAAAGTCTTCAGTTAAGCTAATACACACTCCACATGAAGATTCTGTGATGTCATCGCAATTCATGAAAAAAGTTAAAAAGGATAGGCCTTGTAGAGATGAGAGAGACCACAGAATCTAAGGACTTGTGGCCACTCACCTCAATATTATTCTCTACCCTTCACTTGATACACAATTCCGACCAGGTTCAAGCCTCAACATTTACTTAGCTAACATTCATCTCTTCATTGGAGTGAACAAAGTTGGAAACTTCACTATAAATTGCCAGTGAGATGTGCATTATGTTACCATGGAAGCAGAAGAAGGTGAAGGAAGGTCAGTTGTCCCCTAGAGTTCCCCGGAACACTTCATTGGGACTTTTTTAATATATCCTCAACTGAGGGTATGGTTGTAAAGAGCCCTTATATATCCAGATATTGTTATTAAAGTTATGCATGATCCTACTGAAGTGTTTGGGGGAATTCTGGTTGCCACCTGATACCATTTAGTAAGAGTGAGATAGTGAGAATGAGATTTCAACTATAATAGAAGTGCCATTTTTTAACTGAAGGTAAGAAGTTCACTTTTTTTATCATGATACTATAGCATGGATTAAAACTAGGGTTTCCAGTTTCATTTGATGAGACAATTGATTGAACCATCAAGTAAAGGTTGTAATTTTCTTAGATTGATGCTTACTTTTTGTGATTTTCTTTTTGTGTTTTTTTTGGATTTCAATTTGACTACGATAGATAAAATTAGGTTTAAATATAGGATTTATGATTTTAAATATCGGTTGATAATTACTGTGTTGGTTAATACCTATTGGGTTTTTTCCTTCTAACACTAACACAACCTGATATACCGATTGAAATTAACATTGTATTGGCTGATATGTATTGGATTTTTTCCTTCTAACACTAACACAATGTAATATACCGATTGAAATTAACATTACATGTATATCGATTGGTTTATCACAACCGATATAGCTTGTTCGACTGTTATAAATCTTTTTTTATAGCTAAAAATTTCACTATACCATTATGTTGCGACTGATATCAATACGTCTCCCAATACTCTTATCTAAAACTTTGAATTTCTAATACATTTGATTTTACAGTTCGAACAAGTCTTTCGAAATCAATTTATTCCCTACGGTCTGTGGCCCCAAGAGTTTTGGGAGTGAAGGGAGTTGAACATGAAATCTTGAAGGGAGCAAATCCCCAAGTCCCAGTTCTCGTCTAATAGGCCAAACCCTTGGGATTAATTTTTTTATAATTTTTATAATTCGTAAACAATCTTATTTCCGATAGGGGCATAAGATTCAATTCTCATTTGCACCTTCATAGAAATAAAATTATTTTGAGTTATTCTGATTAGAACGCAAATTTTCCTTTCAATTTCACTCTGTGACAACCCAAATTTCACCTAATTTTACTCTATGTACTACATTTAAATATGGACGTTGTAAGAAATAAAATTGTTTTCATTAGAAAAATTTATCATGTATACTTTTAAAAAAGGTATATCATAAATTTTTTTGGGTCATTTTGTGATGCTTAGTTATGCCATTATGTTTATGAACGGTATCATAAAAACGTTACAAACTATTCGTGGTGAGAAATGTTTATTTTTATTTAATTTTTTTTTTGTCAATTGATAGAAAATTAATTACAAATTGAGAGAATAATATAATTACATCAAACTATCCAACAAGACATATCTACAAGTCCAACCCAATAACCACTACAACTTATCCACCAAGTCCATCAAGCCTAACAATCACTCAATACAACCATCAGAAGAGACGGAAAAAAAAAAAAAAGTATCAAACTTCTCGAGTTGAACCAACAATCTTATACCACAATCTCTAAGCCAAAAGTCCAGATTTGTAGCAAGAAAAGTTACAAACCATTTTGATGTAAAAAATTGCCGACATGTTACGGTGTTTATTAGAGAGAACATTGTGGTTGTATTAAACAACACTAACACTGTGTTTGGTTGATAAATTTAAGAAGAGATTTGGAAAGAAAAATAGAACATATAGATCAAATGTGAATAAAATATACTTATATTTCACTTAGTTTCACATATTTTTCTTTTCCTTTCCAAATCTCTTCCAAATTTCCTAACCAAATACAACATAAACGAAGTGAACGAAAACAAACAGGATGAAATCTCCGTGGGATGCTAGGAAAGCTTGTATAGTTTGTACCATTTTTAAACAAAGGTAGCAAGACATAACTGTATCGAGAATATTGAGTGATATAGATTGTCATGCATTTTTTTAAAATCATTAGTTTCAAAGTGAGAAATGTTAGAAATTTATAATTTTAAATCTACAATGATATGATAAGAGAGTTGAGTTTTATATTATTGAATGGATAATTAATCAAAAGTGGACACGTATCATACTACATCATTTTGAATCAAATTATGAAAAAATTTTGGAGTCTCAAACATTTTCTACTAAAAAATGTCATGGTTTGTATCATAATAAATTTAAGAATAAAATAAGGAAAAAAAAAATGCAAAGACGTTTTGGTTATCTAAAATACATAAATTGTAGTATTTCAAAATTGTCTCATTTACACTATCTATTTTTTTTTTTTTTTTCGGTCTCATTTTCGAATTTGATAACTACACCCGTTTGGTTGTAAAATGATGCAATTCAAAATTTTACTTTTTTTTAAAGAAATTATTTTATTTCATTTTTTACTTTTTCCACCCTGTATTATAAGTTTTTCAATTTCCAAAAGTATTATTTTGTGTCAAACATAAAATTCAAAAAATTACATAATTGGTTTCCTATCTTATCATTTCTTAAGGCTATGCTTGATTCATAAATTTGAAAAGGGAAAGAAAAAATGTAAGTGAAATATGAATGAAAAATTGCAATTCAGTTGGAAAACCAAAAACAAATTGCAAATTAGTGATAAAGCTTATCAACTTTAATAATTGAAGCAATAAATTTTTCCATGATTTTGTAATTTTCTTTTTGGTATTTCCACTGATTTGCAATTTCTCTAAATGTAATCTCCGTGGGATGCTAGGAAAGCTTGTATAGTTTGTATCATTTTTAAACAACGGTAGCAAACGACATAATTGTATCGAGAATATTGAGTGATATAGATTGTCATGCATTTTTTTAAAATCATTAGTTTCAAAGTGAGAAATGTTAGAAATTCATAATTTTAGATCAACAATAACGTGATAAGAGAGTTGAGTTTTATATTATTGAATAATTAATCAAAAGTGGACACCTATCATACTACATCATTATGAATCAAATTTTGAAAAATTTTTAGAGTCTCAAACATTTTCTACTAAAAAATGTCATGGTTTGTATCATAATAAATTTAAGAATAAAATAAAGAGAAAAAAATGTAAGGACGTTTTGGTTATTTAAAATACATAAATTGTAGTATTTCAAAATTGTCTCATTTTACACTATCTATTTTTTTTTTTTTTTTTTTTTTCATTTACACTATCTATTTTTTTTTTTTTTTGGGGGTCTCATTTTCGAATTTGATAACTACACCCGTTTGGTTGTAAAATGATGCAATTCAAAATTTTACCTTTTTTTTTAAAGAAATTATTTTAGTTCATTTTTTACTTTTTCCACCCTGTATTATAAGTTTTTCAATTTCCAAAAGTATTATTTTGTGTCAAACATAAAATTCAAAAAATTACGTAATTGGTTTCCCATCTTATCATTTCTTAAGGCTGTGCTTGATTCATAAATTTGAAAAGGGAAAGAAAAAATGTAAGTAAAATATGAATGAAAAATTGCAATTCAGTTGGAAAACCAAAAACAAATTGCAAATTAGTGATAAAGCTTATCAACTTTAATAATTGAAGCAATAAATTTTTCCATGATTTTGTAATTTTCTTTTTGGTATTTCCACTGATTTGCAATTTCTCTAAATGTGAATGTAATATAATTATATTCTACTCACATTTTGCCTTTTTCGTTCTAAATTCCTCCTTAAATCCATGAACCAAACACATGTTAAAGTTATTTTTAAATATAAATATGATTCCCAATAATAATACTCAAATAGAAATATATTCTAAATCTATAATTTAAAAATGCTTTGTTTAAATTGTGTGCATGGCCAAACATTTTACAAAATGAGACAAAGGGATTACAAAATTTGGTTCCTCATAATTTTTTTTTTATTATTTAGAAAACATAATTACTATCTTAATCCAAAATTAGATATTTGAAATTTATTCAATTTATAATACTTGCACAAAATTTGAAGGTCGCAACAGAAGCCCTAGAGTGAAGCTTCAGCCAATGAACAAAGTGAGAGATCCAGAATTGAAAGCCTTGATCGCATCAAGTGCAGTATTGAACAAGCCAAGGAACTTGTATTTAACCCGAGTCTATATCAAATTGCAACCCCATTTCTCTGTATTTGTCCATAGTTTGGGAATTGTGTTTGTTTAATCGATGCTAGCGAGAATGACAGTTATAGTCTCTGAGCCCTTTTTACTCATTCACATAATTCAATTTAGTTGTAATTTGCCAACGATGTTCCTATTATCATTTTTTTTTTGACTTTTTTTTTGGCTTTTTTTTTATTAATTTTTTTTTATTAATCTAAACTAGAATGTACTAAAAATTTTAAAAAATGAGCTTAAATTTAAACTAAACTAAAGAGAAAAAAAAACCCAATTTTTTGGACTATTTTTTGGGGGTTTTTTTAATCTTTTTTTTATAATTTTTTTTAATTTTCTTAAAAATAAGCCTTTCTAGTCTAGATGTATCCAAACAGTAAAAAAAAATTGACAAAAAAATTAACGTATATTTATAAGACAAAAAACAAAAACTGAAAATGTGCCAACTTTTAAGGGTTCTTTTTTAAGTTGAAAAAATTATATTGAATTTGCAGTATTTTTTGTCAATTAATAGGAAATAGTTTACAAATTCATCCCTAAACTGCCGATTGGGAGTATGAGGCAAATACCAATTGGTGGTTGGATTTGTCAATTAGAAACCTCACAAAATAGGTTGACTTCTAGCTGAAGTTTGACAATTAGAAACCTCACAAAATAGGTAGACTTCTAGCTGAAGTTTGTCATTTTCTTTTTCTATTCCTTTTTTTTTTTTATCGCACCTTAATTTCTTGTGTTGGACTTTTTGTAAATTAATTTTCAATCAAGATATCAGACTTTACAAAAAAATCATATTGCCTAATATAAAATGATGGATATGTAACCACCGATCATACATTTTAGGGTTTTCTAACCCAAACTAATGATACCTCAAGTTTGATCTACCTCATGTGTATGGCCACTTGAATTGTATGTGCAGAATTAGCACTAGTCTGCATTTTCTAACCGCCTCAACATCAATTTTTGTGTTTCCAACTTCATCATCTCTTTCTATTTAATCATTTCAAACTCGCGATTCGAAATTGAGTATCATTTAGATGAATGACAAAGAACTTCAATTGCCCCTCCATTAATTGTATGGATTTTTTTTTTTTTTAATCAGCGAAAAAAAAGATTTATCAATAGAAGAAACAATACTACAATGACTAAATGGATCAACAAAAGCAAATAGGATAAACAACCCAATTGTACTGAACATCAATCCCTTGCACAATTCCGAAAAATTATTAAGTACTGACTACCATCAAAACATTAGTTTTTAAATTCCATCAAAACCTTCAAAACCATTAGCACATAGTTGAGACATTTGAGGAAACCAGAAGTTGATTGAAGATTGCTAGGCCTTCCACCATCCTCTTTTGAACAAGTATCTTTAAAAAAATTAAAAATGTATGCTTAAAAATATTAATTAATATTTTATATTTTGTTGAAAATGGGATTTGAATCCACGCTCTTTCCAATCAAGGTGCAATGATATATGAACATGTAAAGAGGCGATTGTTAGTTGTCAAAAAAAAATAATGACATTTGATCATTCCAATAATATTTGGAAATGTATTTTTTAATAAGGCTGGGAACCTGTAGTATTGCTCTTTAAAATAACAAAGTAGAGACACAAAAATAATAGACAACAACCATCAAACATATTTTACCTGACGGAAAGACGGTGAAATCTAACCACAATTAAATTGTATGATTATCATATTCTATCTAATGGAAAGACTATGGAATCTAATCACAATTAAATTATATGATTATTTTTTGCATATATAGTGAGATTGCGCGGTATGCTATCTCCTCCTTTTTTTTCTCAATCTCCTGGTGAATTATATATAAATTTCAGAATCATTAATCTTTTAGAATTAACTTTACGCTAGAACATAAGCATGACAAACCTCATAGATTCACGTTTAGGGAAAGGATATTTAGAAGTTTCTCTAAAGATTTTCTCAACTTTGGTGACACTGTTTGTTGTTTTCAGGTTCAATTAGCTTCGGCTCATACATTTCTAAGAACAATCAAATTGTATGATTTTTTTTTAATTTTATTTTATTTATAATGAGATTGTGTGATATTCATGGAGGTCTTAAAAAAAATGTTAAAAAGGGTTGAGGCCTTTAATGAATTATCGTATATTTATTGACCAACTTTTGAAAGTTCTGTGGCAATATATTTTGTGATGTAATTATTTGTTTGGCGTCAATTTACAGAAACTAAAATATATGATAAATGGGACATTGTTATTGTAGAGGTAAGAATGATCGCTTCTCTTATATTTGATTAATATTTTCTTCCAAGTTATTGCTTATTTCCTAAATAGAATTAATTTTGTGATGAACAAATATTTATCAATCAAAAGATTTTAATTTTAAATCATATTAGAGGTGTAATGGGTTATGCCATGCTAACCCAACAGGTGCATGCCCTATGTTGTCCCTAAGGTTCATGACGTGCCATTCTATTTGAACCTAAAGTTATCGCAAGAAGCCCAACTCAAATTTTAAAATTTTAATTTCTATTATATCCTAATATAAATTTATTAATAAAGACAACACATATTAAATCTTAAAATAAAATATTGTTTTTTCTCATGGTTCACTCTAATCAATTATACTCTTTTTTTTTCAATTCAAATATCTTTATCTTGTTCTCCAAGTTTCAACTATTTTCTCTTCTTCTTCTTTTTCCTCACTCCAATCAACCCCATTAAAATTTACCATTATCATCAACAACATTATTTTTTTTATTCTATTGTTACTTGTAAATAGAAGAAAATTTGAACAAAATCAAACAACGGATGAGAGTAATAATCAAAATAATTTTTTAAAGCAACCTATCAAAGAGGAGGTAAGCATTCACATAAATATCAAAGAACAATCATTGATGTCAGTAATTTTTTTATACATAAAACTTTCAGCATGTTTGTCGTCATTATTGTTCGGACTTCTAAAACCGAACAAATTCACTTAGTTTGGTTCTAAAAGTCCAAACACGAAGTTCAGCCTCTCTTTCTCTTTCACCAATGACGTTTTCGCTGATGTCTAGTTCCTTAATTGTGTTCCCTGTATACATGTGAACGAAAGAAAGATTTTTCAAAAAAATTTTAAGAGTAATTTAAATTTTTAATTTGTTTTATTTGGGTGTACCCTCGAAAGGGTAATTTGAAAAAAATAAAATAAAACATACTAAGAATAAATTATAATTCTAAAAAATTAAGCCCACTTAACCTCTACATGCAAGGCCGAACATAATTAGCCAGTCCGTTATTATATTACCAATAATTTGATTTCTTTTCAACTCATATATAAAAATTCGTGTTCAAATTTATTTAACATCCCATTCTAAAAAAAATGTATATATATTATTTAACATCAAGTAAGCAAAAAAAACAGCCAACCAGGCTTAACCTAATTGACCATCATGCATTCCTTAAGGTTTAGTCCCAAAAAGGTCATTGGTTCAATTCTCTTTAGGGGGGTTGAATTAAGGAGTGCAAGCACTTATGTGCTTTGCCAAGGGTGGAGAGATTCTCTCCTATAGGTGCTAATCTAACAATTAACAACTAACATTTGCCGATAAAAAAAAAAGAGTAAGCAAACAATTGAGGTCTTCTTAATTGGCCAATTTGGAGCATACATGAATACAATTTTTATCCATGAAAAAAAAGAGTTAATTACTTAAAAGTCTGATTTACAAATGTTATGGTAGTTCAGGTTCTATTTAAGATTTTTTGAACCAATAAATCTTATTTAGTAAAACTTATAATATAATCAGTTTTTCTTAATTTTTAAAACTAAGAACATTATCAATTTTACATAGTAATGTTTTAGATAATTATTTCACTAACTGATAAAAAAAATATAGTATGACATTAAATGTTTTTGCCCTTCTACTTATTGGTTTGATTAAACTATCTAATAAAATCGAGAATATTAATAGTTTTTTTTTCAGTTTTAAAATTGATAACGTTATCAGTTTTTTTATTTTTAAAGTTTTTTTTTTTGTGTCAAAAGAAAAAAAAATTAGATAAATTTTATTCCAAAAGAATTATAATTATCATTAAATATCTAATTTCTTCGCTAAAAATATAATAATAACATTTTTAACAAGTAAATTATTTTATCATTAATTTTTTTTTCACATTTTTTTTTTTTTAGCTTTTTCAATTTGAAAGTTGATATTTTAAGTTGATATTAAAACTTAATGGGACTTGAAGGTCCAAAAAATCTTAGTTAAAATTTAATGGAATATAAGTTCATAAATTATGACTTATATGTAAATGCCCCAAAAAAAATTTATTTTGCCCTTGTGGGGTTATCTAAACATAGAGGGCTAGATCTATGACCCCAAAAAAATATTTGAGTGATTCTTGTCATCCCCAAAAAGTCAAAAAAAAAAAAAAAAAAAATTGAAAATATCACTAATAAATGTATTTTCATAAACAAAATAATTTTGTGTCAAAAGAAAAAAAAATTAGATAAATTTTATTCCAGAAGAATTATAATTATCATTAAATATCTAATTTCGTCGCTAAAAATATAATAATAACATTTTTAACAAGTAAATTATTTTATCATTAAAATGTAATTTTGTTTCTAAAATCTTAATTTGTTATAGCGTCAAGTGAGAATATTAATTGATCAAACTTGTCAATGTTTCTCCAACTAGATTTTAAACATATGAAAATGTGAAACAAAAGAAAGAAAATGAAATACCCCAGCCGAATAATTAAAAAAAAAAAGAAGAGACTTCTTGATAAAACAAAAGTCACTAAAGACAAAAAAATATAAAATAAATAAATAAAAAAGGAGGTAAGTGACTTATTTAGTTCTTTCCAAACAGCCACTAAGCCTCATGTAAGAGCCTCCAAGACAATTGGTCATAAAAGAATTGTGAAGTTAGAATCTTACTGATAAAAATGACAAAACACATAATCTAATTAAAAACTGTAATCAAGATATCAAAAACATAAGTTTGTAAACCCTAATACTTACATTCCAAAGATCAGTAAACAAAGATTGTGATTTATAGTAAAATAGAAAAATCAATATAACCATCACCTACATCTCATTTTTTTCCCCAACAATCAATAATAATATCAAATGAGCCGAGGAGTTCCTCCAAATACTTCAGT